GATAAATTGTATTCATGTTACAGTTATTACTTAGTTGGCTTGTGTCAGAACGGTTGTACCATAAGCCGAGCTTAAAAAAGATTTCAAAGCGCGTCGGTCTTGTGCGTATCTCATCCAATTGAAAGACCATGTTCCGAGATGTTGTTTTCTACTTGATCTCTTTCAATCGAATTCGTGACCTTTTATATGCCTTTTGTGCTGGGGCATCATTATCCATTATTACAACATGACTTAGCCAACGTAGTCGCTGCAGCTCGATACGTCTGTCTATGTCTATGTTTGTTCATTCGACGACGACATTCAAGATCGACGCATAATGGCCCATAGATCTTTCGGATAATTTTTCTCTCAACCACTACAAGAGCTACCTCATCTGCTTGCGCAAGTACCACCAAAGTACCAAACAACAGCACGGGTAATATCAGGCAAAAGTAAACGAGATAGACACATGGTTCCTTTTGAGAATATGCATAGAATCATGTCCGTCCGTCCGTCTCTCCGTCTGTAGATGTTAAATTGTAAACCAGTAAGGAAAGTAGTAAAGTCGGGCTGGGCCGACTATATGATACCCTTCACCACTTTGGGTATATTCTACATATGTATCCCAACAGACGACGCGTTTTTGTTATATATCTATATCTGAACCGATTTCGGGGAAAATTGCCAGAGACTAATTTATATTACTTCAGTACGTTGTGTCATCCGGCCTTGCTATGGATCTTTTCACGCAGCTTAGCAACATCATTTTAGACTTAATTCAGTACTTCAGTAGTGTTGGCGGTTTATTTGGGATACCATTTGTATTTTGTTTTTATAAAAAACAACTATATATTAGTGGGGAATGTATGGCATTGATTGCCGAGGTGTATGGCAGGGAAGATTATAGTTTCGGATCACGCCACTGATCCTCATAAGTTCCCTTAGTTTTTTTGTTGGGACATTCCCCCTAGAAGCTATTGCTTCTATACAAAAAACCTTTCAAACCCAAATGTCTCTTGTAACAAAGCGAAGTACTTAGCTGACCAACGTACCCTATACCAAAATGCGTGCAAATCGAAAGATGTATAGGGACTTTGGTGCACCAATTACATAAAATCGGACGAAAATATATATGGGAGCTATATCTAAATCTGAACCGATTTTCACGAATCTTTGCCACATCATTCTAGACTTAATTCAGTACGCTATGCCAAAATTCGTGCAAATGAAAAGATTTCCAGGGACTTTGGTACACCAATTACCTACAATCGGGCAAAAATTTATATGGGAGCTATATCTAAATCTGAACCGATTTTCATGAAACTTAGCACAAATTATTATAGACCCAAATGCAAGTACGCTATGCCCAATTTCGTGCAAATCGAAAGATATATAGGGTCTTTGGTACACCAATTACCTTAAACCGAATGAAAATATATATGGGAGCTATATCTAAATCTGAACCGATTGTCACGAAACTTTGCACACATCATTCTAGACTTAATTCAGTACGCTATACCAAAAGATTTCCAGGGACTTTAGTGGACTATTTACCTAAAATCGGGCGAAGCTATATATGGGAGCTAAATCTAAATTTGTACCGATTGCCACGAAACTTTGCACACATCATTCTAAACTCAATTTAGTACGATATGCCAAATTTCGTGCAAATCGAATGATATATAGGGACTTTTGTACACAATTTACCTTAAATCGGACGACGATATATATGGGAGCTATATCTAACTCTGAACCGATTTTCACGAAACTTGGCATACATCATTCTAGACCTTATTCATTACGCTGTGCCAAATTTCGTGCAAATCGAAAGATATATAGGGACTTTGGTACACAATTTACCTTAAATCGGACGAAGATATATATGGGAGCTATATCTAAATCTGAACCGATTTCCACGAAACTTGGCATACATCATTCTAGACCTCATTCATTACGCTGTGCCAAATTTCGTGCAAATCGAAAGATATATAGGGGCTTTGGTACACAATTTACCTTAAATCGGACGAAGATATATATGGGACCTATATCTAAATCTGAACCGATTTTTATGAAATTTTACACACATCATTCTAGACCTAATTCATTACGCTTTGCCAATTTTCGTGCAAATCAAATGATATATAGGGACAGTTTACCTTAAATCGGACGAAAATATATATGGGAGATATATCTAAATCTGAACCGATTTTCCCCAATTTCAATAGGGTTCGTCCTTGGGCCAAACAAATGAGCTGTGCCAAATTTCATCCAATTCGGATCATAAATGCGACCTGTACTTTGTTTACAATTTAACATCTACAGACGGACAGACGGACGGACGGACATGCATAAATCGACTCAGAAAGTGATTCTATGCATATTCTCAAAAGGAACCATGGGTCTATCTCGATTATTTTTGCCTGTTACAAACATATGTACAAAGACATAATACCCTGTACCACAGTGTGGTGAAGGATATAATAAAGTACAGGTCGCATTTATGATCCGATTTGGATGAAATTTGGCACAAGTCACTAACTTGGCCCAAGGACGAACCCTATTGAAATTGGAAAAAATCGGTTCAGATTTAGATATAGCTCCCATATATATTCTCGTCCGATTTAACGTAAATGGTGCACCAAAGTCCCTATATATCATTCGATTTGCACGAAATTTGGATAGACTACTGAATTAGGTCCAGAATGATGTGTGCCAAGTTTCGAGAAAATTGGTTAAGATTTAGATACAGCTCCCATATATAGGTTCACCACCAAAGTCCCTATATATCATTCGAGTTGCACGAAATTTGGCATAGAGTACTGAATTAGGTCCAGAATGATGTGTGCTAAGTTTCGTGAAAATCGGTTCAGATTTAGATATAGCTCCCATATATAGTTTTTTCCGATTTTATGGTCCGATTTTAAATGGTGCACCAAAGTTCCTATATACCTTTCGATTTGCATGAAATTTGGCACAGCGTACTGAATTAAGTCTAGAATGATGTGTGCTAAGTTTCGGACAAATCGATTCTGGTGTCGATATAGCTCCCACATATACATATATATTCATCCGATTTTACATAAATGGTGCCCCAACCTTCTAATATTTGTCCGATTAACACGATTTTTTGCACAACGTATCAAGTTGAGACTTGAATAACGTTATTGCGTTTTGGTGAAATTGATGTAGATGCTGTCATAGCTTCCATATGTATTTTGAATGGATGTCTGAATGAAATTAAAATTTCAACAGTGCGGCGACCGAATAGCTATAAGTCGTTTTTAATAAATTTGTCCCATGGTACGAAGTCGACTTTAAATCTGCCCGAATGAAATTAAGTTTATCATAGGTTGCAGAAAGACTTGCGTATGTTCCTTGGAGGGGATACATATGTACAATATACCTAAAGTGGTGAAGGGTATCATATGGTCGGCCCAGTCCGACTTTACTGCTTTCCTTACCGGTTTAGAGCATTAGTTTGGTCTGGCGAGAGGTGGCCTTACTTTTGAGTTGCTTACTCAAACCATAGTTCTGATGTTATTAGTTTTGTTTATGGCGATACCGAGGTATATAAAATCGTTCACTACCTTGAAACTGTAGTTTTAAAGTTCCACAGTTGATCCGAGTCTATTGGACGTCTTGCGCGTTGATACCATCAGCTGGTCTGGTCAATTGTAAATATACCACGCCTGAAGCCGCTTTGCTATGGTCCAATAATGGCATTAATCATTGGCTTCAGTCGTTCACACAGCACGCTGAATAGCACTTAATATGCGATGGTGGGAGACTAATTCCTCTATAGTTGGCACATATCGTCTTGTCTCCTTTTTTGTGCACTGAACACAGGATGCTGAGGTTCCAATTGTACATGCTCCTGACCAGCATCTGACCACCGGTCGTGAATAGCTGGTAATCCATAGGCACCTGCTGCTTTATTATTCTTCAGCCTATTAATTGCTACTTTGACCTCTTCTTGGTTAGGTGGTATACAATCTATACCGTACCTCTTATTGGTTCCGGGGTATCTTCTTCATCGCCACTATTTGATAACATAAGCATTTCTAAATGCTCCTTCCAGATCCTCCACACGCTATCTAAATCTGACACAAGGTTTCCATCTTCATCTCTAGTACAGGAAGATGTGCGTTGGTAGAATTTCAGGACTTTTTTCTGGCTGCTGTATATCTCAATTTACTCACGCTTTTCTTCGATCGCATTATGATAATTCTGTAGTTTTTCATCTTCATCTCTAGTACAGGAGGATGTGCGTTGGACTTTTTTCTGTCTGCTGTATATCTCGATTTATTCACGCTTTTCTTCGATCCCATTACGATAATTCTGTATCGCATTACGTGTTGCTACTGTCTACAGGGTTGCCCTATACATTGTGTGTTTCACATCAGTAGCATTACGACACCACTGATCGTACCATGGGTTTCTTTATGGTGGTTTTTGGTTTGGTTTTTCCAGGACAGCGCTCATATGCTGTTTCTAGGCGCTCGTAAAATATGTCTTGGTCTGTTCATATTTGTCTTCCGTCGGTATACCCAATTGTTCCCATGGTATAGCCATGTTTTTACGCAACCTTCGAAATTGTCTTAATGATTCAGAACACTGAGTGGCTCGCCAACATTTGTATTGCTCCATTTTGCGTCACAGTGTTATTGAAGGAAAATTACCAATGATTTTTGTTTTGTTTTGCAAAAACACTATTAGCAAATAATATATTCAACTATATTTCTATGCTATGAGGCAACTAAATTGATCCATATTCTTTTGTTTAAGATAAGTTTGCAAAATTTTTAAATTTAAAAAAAACAAACTATTCGAAAAACATACATCTGTTTGCTCTAAAGATTACGAGAATAATTATTCACATTTTATATAAAAAGAGAACAATTTTCGATCAAAAAGCATCATAACTTCAGTTCACAGTCTTCCAGAGTAGATCACGGACAAGGCCGAAACAAATTATGAAGAGTTTTAAGTATTTTGCGGTAGTGTTTGCCATATTGGCTACAATGCATAGTTTCATTGCCGCTCAAGGACCTACTGGAACAGCGCCACCAACGGGAACAGCTCCACCTACTGGAACAGCACCACCCACTGGAACTGCACCACCAACAGGAACAGCACCTCCTACTGGAACAGCTCCACCTACTGGAACAGCTCCACCAACTGGAACTGCGCCACCTACTGGAACTGCAGCACCCACAGGAACAGCACCACCAACAGGAACAGCGCCACCTACTGGGACTGCACCACCCACAGGAACAGCGCCACCTACTGGGACTGGTGGTACAGGAACTGCACCACCAACAGGAACAGCACCACCCACAGGAACTGCACCACCCACAGGAACTGCACCACCCACAGGAACTGCACCACCTACTGGAACAGCACCACCCACAGGAACTGCACCACCAACAGGAACAGCACCACCTACTGGAACAGCACCACCCACAGGTACTACACCACCCACAGGTACAACACCACCCACAGGTACTACACCACCCACCGGTACTACACCACCTACTGGAACCGCACCTCCAACAGGAACCACTCCCCCTACTGGTACCACCCCAGCACCAACCCCACCAACATCTGCTGGTGGAGCTAAAAGAAAAATTGTCAAAATTAAAAATTTAAAATTCACAGTTATACGTAAAGTTAAGAGAAATCCAACGAATGGTCCAAGAAAGTCTCCAATGAATGCTCCAAGGAAAGCCCCAACGAATGCCCCAAACAAGGTTACACAACCCCGTAATGTAAAAAATAACAAAACCAATTCGCCCAAAAAGATTGTAACTACACGTAAATTCAAGAAAGCACCAATGAAGCCAGTTGGTCAACGTCGTGTCACGAAGAACAAAGCGAACATGACCAGAAAAATGGACGTTAAACGCAATGTCAGAAGTACGACATTGAAATCGAGGTCTAATGCGAATACGAAATCTGGTTAGATATATTAGTTTTTGTCTAATCAGAAGCTAAAAGGCATACCTGTGTGTGAATATGAACATTTAATTTTTTCTATATTTCACAATTTTCAGTGTGTATTTTTAATAGAGGCTATACATACCCTTATATGGGAAACAAATTTTAAATTCCTTTTATTTTTAAAATATTTACAACAAATAAAAATTTCTTTGCAATAAAACTTTTTGTTTGAATTGAATTTCTATAATTTTTAAGGATTTCTTGAGCACCCTTTGGTCATCACAATTCTGTACAGTGTTGCCCACAAGGAAATTACATCTTATACATAGAGGAAAAAATCTGGGGGAAAATGACACATTTACAATTTTTTAATACAAATTACTAAACGGGAAAAAAACTTACATAAATCACACACATCGGTCTCTTTACATACCAACTGGTCTTCATAAAGGCATGCGGTCTTAATACAGACCAATTTGTATTATTTTATAAAGCCAATTGCAAGTGAAAATGACTTTAAAATTCAATTGGAAGGGTATGGGCTATAATGAAATCACTAAATGAATGCAAAACATTAATAACTTCGATGAATAGCAGAATTATTAATTAATGGAAAATACCAAATTTAGGTTATTAATGTCGTACGAACTATTTTTTTTTAGCTGGCTCTATTTGTTCCATAAGTCGAACTTAAAAAAAGCTTCCAGACTCGTCGATCTTGTGCGCAATTTTTTCAATTTGAAAGACCATGCTTCGATATGTCATCCTCCACTTGATATTTCCATCGAATTCGTGTCATTCCCCTTCGGCGTGAACCATAAGTAGGCTCGCTTTTATATGCCTATTCAGCTGGGACATCCTCATCCAGTCGCTGCAGCTCGATACGACTGATTATGTCAATGTCTGTGTATAGATGGTATAGCTCGTGGTTCATTCGACGCCGATTTCCATCGTCGACGCAGTTCGGACCATAGATCTGTCGGAGAATTTTTCTTACAAACACTCCAAGAACTGCCTAATCTCTACGCAAGCACCATGCTTCAGATCTATATAACAGCACGTGTAGTGTCAGCGTCTTGTAGAGTGTGAGTTTGGTCCAGTGGTGGGCATAACAAAATTGAGCGTAAGTGTGGGTGAGCTTAACTGAGAAATCACCATTAAAAATAATTGACGAAAAGAGAAAAATGAGAATGTGTGTTTAACCATCGACACGCAGTTACGGTAGCGTGTATGGCCGAGCATGCCTGGTTAGGTCTGGCTTGAGGTGACCTTGTTTTTAAATTGCTTATTGAGACCTCACCTCTAAACGGATAGGGCTGTCGAATGCACGATTTGGCGCCGCGTGAAAATCTGGTCTATTGTGGATTTGCCAGATCTAACAGTACGCTGGATAGCACTTTATATGCCATGGGAAGGAGACTAATTCCATATGGTATTGTCTCCTTTTTTGTGCACGGGACACAATCATTGGCAATGCATTCTTCTAGCAAAATTGTACTAATCAGTTGGTGCACCGGACTTCGGCTGGTAACCCATCGGCACCTGCTGCTTTATTATTCTTCAGCCGATTGGTTGCTTTTTTGACCTTATCTTGGCTAGATGGTATATCTCCTTCACTGCCACTATTTGATGCCAAAAGCTTTGCAAAATGTACCTTCCTCAACACGTTACCTGTATCTGTCCAAAGCATTCGGCTTGGTGTTTTCGTGTTGGTAAAATTCTCGTACTTCGTTCTGACTCCTGTACACCTCGGGTTGCTCCCGCTCGCGTTTTTTTCTTTCTTTTGAAAATACGTTTCTCCTTGTCTCCCGATAATTCTCTCTCGACTGACTTCGTTCTGCCTCCTGTACTCACGGTTTTTTGTTTTTTCTTTTGAAAATACGTTTCTCCTTGTCACCCGATAATTCTCTCTCGACTGGGTGCGTGCCTTCCGTTCATGATTTCACGTTGTTTGTTGGGAGAAATTCACATCGTGCTTAAATCTGATTCTGTTTTTTGCTGCCGCGAAGTCAATCAACCTAAATTTTCCGACAGCGGGGACAAAAATATTTTCCTTGTCGATTTTAGCATTAAAATTTCCTAGCAGAATTTTAATGTCATGGCTAGGGTTCTCATTTTAGTTTCTTTATTGTAGTAGAAGGGGTTTTCCGAGTGTGGGTAACTAATCCGACGCATCAACCCATTTTTTATACCCTCCACCATAGTATGGAGGGTATATTAATTTTGTCATTCCGTTTGTAACACATCGAAATATTCATGTCCGACCCTATAAAGTATATATATTCTTGATCAGGGTAAAATTCTAAGACGATCTAGCCATGTCCGTCCGTCTGTTGTAATCACGCTATCTTCTGAAGGAATTGAGTGCATAAAGTTGTCTTTTGTCTGCAGGCTGGTCAAGTTCGAAGATGGGATATCTCGGTGCATGTTTAGGCATAGCTCCCATATAAGGTACCCCCCCCCCCCAATTTTCGGTATTTTGAGGTTCTTGGGCGTGTTTTTCAACCGAATTCGCTGAAATTTGGTACTTTGAGTTCTTATTAGGTAGCAAATCTCCCAACTAAAAATTATAAATATAGGTCAATATTTTCTGGTACCCCCCATATAACGGTACCCCTCAATTTTCGGTATTTTGGGGTTCTTGAACTCGTTTTTCAACCGAATTCGCTGAAATTTGCTACATTGGGTTCTTATTGTGTACTAAATGTCTCCACAAAAAAAATATAAGTATAGGTCCACTTTTTCTGGTAGCCCCCATATAACGGTACCTCCTAATTTTCAGTATTTTGAGTGTTTTGGTCGTATTTTTCCACCGACTTGGCTGTAATTTAGTATTTTGAGTTTTTAATAGGTACAAAATCTCTCCACAAAAAATTATGAATATAGGCCCCCAAATTTCATTATTTTGGGGTTCTTGAGCGCGTTTTTCAACCGAGTTCGCTGAAATTTGGTATTTTGTAGTCCTATATGGTAACAAATCTCCCTAATAAAAATGATTAATTTTCGCACCCTTTTTGGCGTAGTCCCCATATAACCTCATTTTTATATTAAAATAGTATAGTATAGAACGTAAGGTTCGATAATGTACTATATAAAAACTATAGCCCGGATTTAGGCCTAGGCCTAGCCCCTGTGTGGGACGTACCAGAAGGAGTGGATCGATATTTCCCATCATCGAACAAAGTTTGGAATAAATAATATAATATGCAAAGTTTGGATGAAATCAAAATTTTCTGAAATTGATTTGATCCAAAAAAGTGGGGTCTAGAACCAATATTTCGACCAGACACATTTTCCCTGTATCAAAGTGAATACACCCTCATTAGCCATAAGGCTGAGGGTATAAATATTCATCAAAAATTGCTGAAATTTACCTAATCAGTTTGTGGAAAGGTCAATTTTTGGTATGTTCCCTTTATTTTCGTTTCAAGTACCTGACAGTATATCTATGGTGGAGGTATTCCAAAGTTCGGCCTGGCCGAACTTAACGCTTTTTCACTTGTTTATAGTTTTTATGGGTGAACTCGCGGCAATGTAGGTCCATATTGTAATACAGTCCCAATAGAAGGAGACCAATCTACAATTCAATTAAGTAGACGCATTCAACAATTTGGATTAATTTTACCCTACACAACTATGTTTTAGCGTAATATGGCTTTGTAACGCCGTTGTAATGCTGATACTACCCGTGCTGTTATATGGATCTGAAACATGGGTACTTGCGCAAGCAGATGAGACAGATGTTTGAGAGAAAATTTTCTTCGAAGTATTTATGGGCCAATGAACGATGAGTTGTACCATCTATTCTCGGACATAGACATAGTCAGACGTATCAAGTTGCAGCGACTACTTTGGTTAGGTCATGTTGTGAGAATGGATGAGGATGCCCCAGCAGAAAAGGGATTTACAAGGGGAGCCAACTGATGGTTCACGCAGAAGGGGAAGACCGCGAATTCGATGGAAAGATCAAGTAGAAGAAAATTTTCGAACAGGGTCATTCAAATTGGAAGAACCGTGCACAAGACCGATATGCCTGGAAATCTTTTTTAGACTGGGCTTATGGAACAAATTTTCTGACACAAGCCATCTAAGTTATGGAACAAATTTTCTGACACAAGCCATCTAAGTTAGTAACTAATGGAAACTTTACTTCAATCGATACATATTAAAATAAAACAATTTCTAATTTTTTTTTTTTATTTTTAATTTGAGTGAGTAAATTTTTATTTCATTTTTGTCTTTTGACTCATTGTGTTATCATTTCATTTATAATCGTTTTGATTGGTTTACATTGAAATCATGTGAATTTTAAGATTTCACATATTTTTTCCAAAAAATAATAACAAAATTATTAAAATTTTTTAGAGATTTGAACAAAACTAAATATAAAACAACAAATAGTTTATAACGACTAAATAACAATTCTTAGATATATAGTAGTGTGAAAAAATAGTTAACAAAAAATATTAGAAACAATTACTAGTATTTCCTTATGCTAATTTGTGTGACAATAAATTTATTTGTGTGTGTGTGTGTGTTTAATTTTACTATTTATTGCTGTAGATTGACACCAACAAAAAAATATATATTTCTATTAATTTGAAAATAAAAAAAAATTATTTGGATTTTATATACAATTACACATCATTTTAATAATTTAAATTTATATATTATTTTTACTTGCAGTTCACATTTATTAACAATTTATTTGGGAGGGAAAAAAACAATGGGTGAGTGTTTACAAACAACAAATTTTTAAAAATTTTCTAATATTTAATATATAAGTGTTTTATTATTACTATTTTTTTTTTAATATTTCTACTCTTCTTCATCATCAAAAAATTGACTTAATTTTAGCTAGACTTTAGTTAATCAGCTCACTCGCTTTGTTGTTTTTTTTTTAACATTTAATAATGCTGTGAGAATATATTTTTAAATTTAGTTTTTTTTTGTAGTTTCACTTTTGATTTTCTACACATACATACAAATATGCATTTTATTATAATATTTCATTTATTTTTAT